TTCAAATGCTAAATATAAAAAATATTTTATTAATAAGATAGTTTTACTAAACAATAAGAAGCTATCATTAAGCTAGTGAAAAATTTGCTTTAAATTAATTAAAATTATTTATTTATTTCAGAATGAGTAATTTTTACTATATGTTGTATACTTTTGTTATGGGATTGGCACCGGTTACTATGGGAATGGCAACTTTTTTTGAACAAAATTTCGAAGGTGTTTAGACGCGTTTCGCGTAACTTATCTATGTAACGTGCATAAATTTGGATTTTTGAGCCCGGATCTACATATAAACTTACACGTGATTTATCCTACCCTTAATGGTGATATTGACCACATGGATGAGGTATTGAGTAGCCAATTACGATCTCCGATTTGACATCATTCTACTAGTGGCATTCACTCTCTGATCCCTCTTCTGTCAATTTGAATTCTTTTAAACTGAACTAAGGCTTTCTCCATTTTATTCTTGTTCAAGTTGATTGTAACGATTAAAATGTTAGTATTTGATAATGAAATATAAATTACAATGATTTAATGGTAAAAGATAAAAAAATATTTATTTTGTAGATGTGAATGATTGCATATTTATATAAAGTACCAATTTCCTGTTATAAAAAAACATTTCTTTTTCCTTTATGAATAAAATATAACATAAACTTTGCCATTGATGAAAGAACTCTGTGCAATAAATTTGTCATTCTTCTGGTAGGTTTATTAGTATTAGTACTCTCAATAAAACAATAATTATTTGAAATTACATTTGATTAAGTTTCATCTCTTTTATTAACATATCTCTATTACCATAGCTAACATAGGCATAAAATACATATAGATGGAAGACCTGCGTGAATTGTATTTTATATTAAAAAAAAACTAATAATACTATTTCAATATAAAAAATAAATTAATATAATTATTATCTTTATTCGAGTTCCTTTAGAAATCCAATGCTTGCTTAAAAGTGATTTCAAACCCCTATTTAAAAAGCCAGTTTAACTCTGGCAGCGAGATAGTTATCATGACTATCACTACCTACAATAGAAAGATATATATTTTTTACTTCATTATTAAAAATTAAAAAATTAAATTTAATTTAATTATCGGACTTGTATGATTCCATTCCTTGTATTATCAATTATTTTAATAAAAAATGTTGCTGCAATCTTTTTTGAAGAAAAAGGCCGAGTTCGGAGGGTTATAATAGATAGAATATTCAATGCTGTTAAAAAATCTCGGTGGAATTCCAATCCAATGTTGGCGAATTAGTTTTTTATTAACAGATTCACATTGACGTTCAACATCCTTTATAATTTATAAAAAAATTTTTTAAATGAGATAAATGGTTTAGTTTGAATTACCAAATAAATTCATTATATAAAAAACTAACAATTGATTAAAATGGTAGAACTTCCTTCCTCAGCTACGTTACAATTGATATTTTTTATTCAAATATTTATTTTGGTAAAGCAACATCATGCATGATCTATTCAACAAAGACTAAATTTGTTGAACATAAATATGTGATATCAAATAACGAGGTTTGTTTGTTTTTTATTTGGACCCAAATATCCTAAAAGTAAGGCTAAGCATGGAAAGCAAAAAGAAAAACATAAAAATCGGGAAAATAAGGCAAAGGCACTTTGACAAATGGTTTTGAATCAGATGAACTAGAATATTAATATTATCTGGTGGTAAATACCCCTCACGAGGTCCATTCTTCTTTTTCCTGGGGTCTTGACCCATTTCTCTGGATTAAACCTTATGAGGTTTATGCAAATGAGATTGATAGTGCTATAATTCCTGAATTCCATGGTAGATCTTATTTTTTCTAATTTTTTTTTTTAACGATTGTTTTACCATAAATGATATTCGTTTGGAACGACTTGGACTTATGTAGATTAATTCGTATATTCTAATTTTAAATCTCCTTGTTTCTATTATTGAAAAGAGCGGAGTTACCCTATGTGGTAACTATCCATTGTGTTGTTGTAGATCAATTATAAAAAACGAAAACGCCAAAAAAAAAACAATTGAATATTATTGGACAAAAAATTGTTTGATTGAAAAATCATGTATTACAGATTTTTATATATATAAATAATCAATACATTTCTTTTTTTTTTTCTTTAACTGTGCTCAAGACTGCCTATGGCATCTCACTTAGTGGGGTGTCCGTGGTAGTTCATCAGATGGGACCCTTGTATAGGCCTCTCGGTTGGTTTCAATCATATATAAGAGTGAGCTTGCAAGGTGGCATAAAGCTTCCACTTATTATTACAGTCTCCACCCCGATTCTGCAGAATGCTGTTCAGTAAGGCGGTACTGATAATGCATGTTTGTCCCCACAAGTAATTTAGACTGGCAACTGATTATTTGCTTGGCGACACTATGGAAGAAGGGCAGGAATTCACGGAAGAGCCATGTACCAACTGAGGCACAGAATTGGGCGTGCCACGTCACATTCATTATGGTTTGGGCACGACATTAAGCACGCGTTGGTTGGAGCGTGTCACAATATTTTTACTAGATCTAGCAAATATTTGTTTGGTTCTCTTTTAGATATTCACTTATTGGCAATGTTTTTGGGTCACTCAACAAAAATTTGACTGGCTTGTCTAAGAATGCTTTATCCCTCGTCCATGGTGGGCGAAGCTAACATTTAAATCGGAAATTGTATTTGGCTTAATCATACAATGAGTAAGTATTTCACATTATGATATAATATTTTAGACTGTTATCTACCCGCGGTATTTTAAATGATGGCAATTGGAAAATGTCCACAAATTAAGTGAAGCAATTGAATGGAGCATTATTTAATCAAAGGTTTTTTTTACGTGACTCTTGGGGTTTTCACTCTTTAGTATTTTTGATCAAGGAGAAATATGGTAAACGTTTAGCTTGTGATCTATGTATTTATAATATTCCAGAATTATTGACTCAAGAATGGACTATTGACGGATTAATAGAAAAGTACACAACCAGAAGCAACATTTAATAAAAATTGATTTTATTTTAAAGGTAAAAAAAATTCTAATAAAAAAGATCTTACGGAAAGTTGGACTTTCAGTAACGTTATTCACTTTCAAAATTGTCTTTAATTTCTAAAAACTTTGAAAGTCAAAAAGAATAGCAGTCTGAACAAACAAATTTATTTATATTGTCAATTATTTGTTTAATGATAAACATGACCAAAGTTTCCTCTTTATCATATACGCCTAAAAATTCCTTCGACATCTATTTAATTAAGCTATATTAATTGTTTAATAAAAATTCCTAATGAAATTATTATTGAAATAAAATAAATAAATTTATTATTCTTGAAAAAATAATTTTTATAAAAAAATAAGTGAATTATTTGTAATAATACCCTTATCTCTATCGTTTACCACATTAAACCCAAACCACCTTCGTCTTCAACTTTGACAACACGAATACTAACAATTTCAGGTGAAGGATTAAGCCTAAAGTCCAGGTTTGGATACATGGCAACATCGCCGTACGAATCAATCTTAATTAAAAAATGACTTTTCAAAGTATCTTTTTAATATTTTTAACATTGTTCAAATGCTTGTTTTTAGTATTAGTAGTAAATTCTGCCCAACCGACCAAGATTTGTACATTCCACTATTATTGTTAACGATAATTTATATATTATGGGTGGTTTCTCTAATGGTCGGCTGTCAAAAGAATTTTTTTTCCCTTGATTTGTCACAAGCATTTGATGCAACAACTTCGCCATGGAAGGATTTAACTGCAACCTCGCGCCATTGTCGGTATTAATATCATTGACTACGGCTAGTTCTAACACTAATAATGATATAATATTTTTATTTGATGGTATCATGTTTGATACTGTAACTGGTGAATTGAGTTTGAAAAATGTGGTTTATATCTATGATTTTAAAAGCAACCAATGGTTAGTAAACCAGGTGTAGATACCTCTATAGACTATTGATTGACCATGAAACAAATATACTAAATGAAAAAAAACCAATTTTTTTAAATGATGATAAGAAAAAAATTATCATTATTATTATTTACCATATACAGCTGTATGCCCAATACAGGGATCAATATTTGGACCACAAACTATAACCTGTGTTAATTAATAATTACCATTACACCCCAAGTGTCAGCTATAGTATCGTATATATATAATGTAAGCTTTTTTTAAATAAATGATAAATTGATATTGAATTAATAACTAAACATTTATTATTAATCATTATAGTTATTATTTATTACCTTATTCATGAGAGCTCCACGTATATCTCAGTAGATTCTCTTCCACCAATAAAAACGACCAATCTATTAGCAATCAATACAGCAGCATGGTCAATTCTAGAAGGTGGCATATTTATACCAGTTGTTCCAATTGGGCTCCAGGATAAATCATCTCCATGTAGGATAAAAAAATCTTTAAAATATTTTGCAGTAGGAATACTTACATCATGCACTCCACCATGAATATACAATTTTCCAGTAAATGGATCACTAACGCTTGAAAATTATCTACGTGTTTCAGGTGCAATTCCTTGAAGAGCCAGGTGACATTAGGATCAACATCTAATCATGAATTAGTTGTGTTAGACACAACAGCAAACAATTTTAAATGGATTATACCCCCAGTAACAATACCAGAATTTGCTATCAACTCGCTTACACGCCATAAAGCAAACTTAATTGGAGATTATATGATTGTAACATTTGGTAATTAAATAAATTAATTAATAAAAATAATGATGATAATTATGACAATATATTAAATTATTTATGTATCTAACAAATAAAGCTGGGCCACCTGTTGAAACGAGTAATTCAATTAAAATATGATAAATAGTAAAAGCATACCTATCTGGTGGTTTTGGAAGGAGCTCAAGCCTAAGGAATCATGAAGACAAAATCAAATTAGAAAATGAGGTCAAGTATTTGTTGGTGAATTACTTAATATAGCTAATTACAAATGAGTAAAATCATTTCCTGGTCTATTTCCTAGCAATATAACATCAACAGCAATTTCACCTTCACCGAGTCCTGCACCACATGCACCGCCATCACCTTAACGGTTTCAGCAATTGTGATTTCAGTTTGTCTTACTTTGATTATTTCTGTATCAATCGGTATTTTCCTTTTATATCGTATAAAATTGTATGAATCTTGGTGATTGCTAAATAGAAATAGACAAAAAAGGACGTATAAGGATCTTTATCATCTTTAATGATGCTTCATCATCAGCTTGTAGCACGCAAATGATGTCTTTTCCTCCTCCCCCTCCTCCTCCTTCTTCTCAAAGGTCAAATTTATAATATAATTTTATGAAAAGTATTTTCACAACAACACCATCATTAATATCATCATCTAATAGTCAAAGTCTTTCAAACCATAATTCTGTTTATAATTTGTTTTAATAGCAATAACAACTTCAACAACAAAAACAATACTAGCTCACCTTCAATGCTATATATTGATCTTGCATCACAAACTTTACCAATGATTACTACACAACCCCAACAAATTCGATATATGGTAGTGATATCAACAACAACAATAATTATTATTACACCATAAATGTATAGTCTACCTAAATTTGGTCCAACAACAACAACAGCAATTACAATTACAACAATTTCAAACATTAACAATTATCTTACTAATTGATAAACATGAACCACCACTTACAAAATTACCTTTATCTAATACTTTTGCACATTCCTCAATAATGATCAAAACGTGCCGTACCAAGCATAACTTCATCATACCATTTAGAAACAATAATAATAATTACCACATTTTTAACATCCAATGATTTTAATAAATTTAAAACTCGGATTTTTCACCATCATCAATAAATTCTAAAATTTTATACTTATAATTGTCTGCTGTCTTTCTTTATGATAAAGTTCTCCAAAATTATATTATTATTATTATTATTATTATTATTAATCTTTTTCAATTGTTGTTCCATCATTGTCTTTCTTCATTCTATATGCTGTGTGTTGCAGTATTGTTTTCTCTCTCCATTTCATCCTTAAACAGCTCGACTTGTTTCTAATTTTCCACGCGTTTTGGTATATGCTATAAATACACTTTTACGATCTTTGATTTGTCCACTTTCATGATCTCCATTTTTTTACCACTGTTATTGATGCTATTGACCTTCAGAATCTGAAACGTTGTTTTCATCATGATTATTATTATTGCTACCTAGGGAATTTGCTTTTTTTAAAAAAGTAATAATAATACGGAGGAAGTAATAATTCAAGTAAATCTAAAAAATAATAATAATAATATAAATAGTTTAGGTTCATTAATAAAAATATGTCTAAAGTGATATTGCAACTGATATTATCACATTGACAAGACATGTTCTTGATGAACAACGTAAACATAAGGATGCAAGTGGTGATTGTTAAATGCGACTCAATTTGGTTGCAAATTTGTAGCTACTAATGTTAGAAGAGCTAGACTTTTGAATTTGCAAATAATAAATAATAATAATAAATAATTGATAAGAGCGGTAATTGTCCTCCTTCCCTTCTACCACCTTCCCAAATAATTCAGAGCTGTACCTGTAGGTGGTTCAACAAATATTTCAGGTGAAGAATAAAACATTTTGATGTGTCTCCAATGGGATGCCTGTTAATACACTCTGTTCATCTGGTAAAGCTGCTGTAATGGTTTCAGAAGATGATAAACATGCAATTATTGTTAAGGAAGGGTTATGCGGAAAATATTGCATTGTTTTTGATCCATTAAATGGATCTTCTAATATTGATGTAAATGTTGGTATATACAATTTTTGGGTATCTATAGAACGGTAAATAGTCAATTAGTAACTATTTGACGCGCAAAAGTTTAAAATTTTTATTATTAAATTATTAATTTTAGCGCGAAGGAAGTTAATATTACATGATTTATTTTTTTCTTACATCTAGTTAATCTATCCATCCAATTATTACAGTTAGTTGATTTATTTATTTCATCGCTCACTCTCGCTCAACTAACACAGATCATAATTCCATCTCGTGGAAAGATATGTTCAATAAGTGAGGGAAATGAAAAATATTGATATGAACCATGTAAGAAACATTTCGATTCTCGGTAAAAATCTTTATTCAACTCGTTACATTGGTTCAATTCTGTTATACGATGAAATATCCGCATATCCAGGTGACAAAAAATCAAAAAATGGCAAGCTTCGTATCTTGTATGAATTGTCTTTTTGGCTGAACAAAATAGTGAGTGGCAAGTTACAGATGGTAGGAAACGAGTGCTTGATATTGTACCGGAATCTATTCATTCCGGATGTCCTATTTTTCTTGGGTAGCAAAGATGATATTGAAAATATAGAAAAATTCTATGCTGATTTCAAAGAAGAGAGAGAGGCAATGAAATGAAATGAAAACCAATCAAATAATTTTTTAAAATTTTTTCTACGATTATTTAATTTGAAATGAAAAAATTTAAGCCTGAAATAGCGAGCATTAGATCACTTTCACTTGATGATAATATAAATTTTCGTGTTCACAAAATATTTATGCGAACAAAAAAAAATTATATATCATTATTATTTTTATTATTATTACTATTACTAAATGAATATATAAAATTAAGAAAGATGAAAAGTTAGTATAGACTATTACTATCTTTATTTTGTATTTTCCATGAATCTACCAATCCCAACTGTAATAGTAATAGGCTTACATGTGAATTGGGTAGATCCTTTCTGCTAACACTTGTATATTAAAAAAATGATGATTAGATTTATTTTTTTTGGAAACTTGTTAATAATAACAAAAAGTTTACATTTTCTATATACATATATAATAATGTTAATTAGTCTAATGATAATATTTATATGTTCATCATTGTTTAGTTCACCATCAAAAATTTGAATATGTAAAATTATATTAATATTGGTGATTTTATCAATTTACTTGTTATCTTTAATTGTTGGAACAAACTTTTCATGTAAAAATCATTTGTCAATTCCTGTTATAATAGCATCTTTAACATTCAAAATGTTGTCATGGTTGAAAAAATCAACAGAAACTAGAATAAAAAGAACACAAAGAAGAAATAGGAAAAGATTTCAAACCTTTCATATGGGCACTATTTCACCAAGATAATTTGAGTTGCACTAATGATAAAATCATCAACTCTACCAACTTTACTGACTCAATTAAAAAAAAGGAACAAATAAATCTTAAATCATATTTATTGTCAAGATTATTTAGCCTTCTTGAAATGTTCAAATTTGAGAGGTCTGCGTAATATTCATGGAATCATTCACCATCTCAATATCTGATAGACCATATGTTCTGAGAATAATGGACTATATAACTGCATCATTAAATTGGCATCATCATCACCACCATCACAACTGCTCCTAATGGATCAAACATTAGATCACATATCATTATCAGCATCTGCATCATTTGTTACTTAATCAACAATATTATTGTATAGTATATTAATATGAATTCTATTTATGAACAACTTCTCTTAATATCAGCAGGTTCACACAAATAAATTGTTGTTATTATTATTAAATACTACTAATAATACCAATAATAATAATATTGCAAATATTCTTTTCTTCTATATCTCTTCAATGATTTCTATTAAAAACAACAACAATAATAGCAAGGATTAGGAATTGGTTGAGGAGGACATTATTTGAATCAGAGCTATTATTTAATAAAGCATGATTATCATCAAACCCAAAAGATTTATGGAGTAAAAGGTACGTATATATACATACACATGCACATGCATAGATATAACTTCTAACTCTAAATCTTTTTAAATTATTTATAATATCTATTTGACTTTGACTTTAGATGGCATCAAATATTTAATGAAAGTTTTAAAGAATTAGGCTATTATTCAAAAATTTTTTAGCATCACTATTTCCAAATTATTACAAAGGGTTGTTGGAAATATATTAGGATTATTTGCAAGTTTTTTATGTAGTGGAACATTTACATTTGACATTTTTTTTGTTTCGTGGATTGTTGATGGTAATGTAGAAATTTGATTCAAAATATAGAAGAAAAACTTTATTATCAGAAAAATTTTATCATCATAAACTTCATCACCAATAATAAACATCTATGGAATTTATAATTTGGAATTCAATTTTTAATTTTTACAATTCCTTGGTTTATAGAAGATGTGTTATAAATTCCTAAATCTTGAAATAGTTTCAAAGTTAAGTAAACCAGAGCCCATTTTCATTTTGCTATCAGCAATTTGCATTTCTTGATGAAAAGTTAAAATTATTAATGTGATATATGAGAAATTCCTTATTATTATTATGATTATAATAATTACCATATGGCTCTTCTGAGTTATTTGATTTGTTTGTAATTGTTTTTTGATCTAATTAAATATATTATTATTTATTATTATGAATGACCATAATAAAATTATGCGATTTAAGAAAAAAATGATAAATACTTTTGAAATGATTATAAACTATAATCTTTTTTATTGATAGTTTGGTTGAATGAAGGTGATTGTTTCTGTGGCAAAGTTACTGAGTTATAAGGATATGATGATGATGAATTTGAAGGAAAGTTAATAGGCTGGAGAATGTGTTGATTGAGATCGTTGTTGAGCTGATGAATATTGTCCTTGTTGATGTTGCTGTCGATAATTACGATGTCCTTGTTGATAATTATTGTGGCGATGTTGCCATTGTTGTTGTCCTTTTTGTTGCTGTGTTCTTGTTCTTGTTTTGCCATTTTTAATTTATGTTCTTCTTGTGATTGAAATGAATTACTAGTATTGGTATCAGTGGTTGAAGAGGTTGATCCGAATAAACATCCATATCTTATTTACTATAAGAATTCAAAAATTATATGGAATAATTTTATTTTTTCTAGTTTAAATAGTATATTTATTATCTGTAATAATCACATAATGATGTCAATCATATATTATATTATACATATTAATAATTAAAAATCAAAACTCAAATAAAATGATTTTTTCAAAAAGTTTTATCATCTTCTTCTCTGTTATTCTTTATTGCTTTGTAAGCTTGATCATGGCATTGATGATGATAGTGGTATAAATGAAAAGAAATTACGAATGATAATATGTAACTAGCAGCTATGAAGAAATTTAGAATCATACATATGGTGTACATGTAACATAATATTGAATATTCAGTAGGAACTGAACTGATTTCTGCGCATTGTATTGGAAGTGCTGTTAATCTCTGATAAGTTGTTGATTTATAATTGATACCTTTAATTGATGAAAAAAAAAATATACAAGTGAATTAATTTAATTGCAATTTAATTTGTGATTTTTCGAAAAAACAAAAAAGCAAGACCTACTTGTAAGTATCCATACAACGAATAGTCCACTAGATGATTATAATTTTTAGAAAAAAATTGAATCATTAATTAATTAATGAATTAATTAAATGCTTCGACTAAAAACAAGAAATCTCTAATTAAATAAACTGTTTACCTGTCAATAAAATAATCTTTTTTATATGGACCACTTTTTAATCTTTTCTTATAAAATATAATAAAATATCCTAATAATAAAAAATAATCATTAATTAATTATTATCGTCATTAAATCATAATAATCATTAACCATTATCATCATCATTGTCATTATTTAATTAACTTAAGTTACCTATGATCAGCACAGACGTAATGACAACTGTAAAATAAAGCCATTTCACTGCATAATAACTATTAACATGGTTAATGAATAGGAGAACAAAAAATAAATAAAAAACAGTAATTAAATATGTAATTTGAGAGATTGAAATAATAAAAAAGGAACTTACTATCGAATTTTATTATAATAATAAGTAGTATAATATGTAACAATAACTGACTTATGTAATAATACCCAAAACACTACTTGCGTTATTTCTGTGTGGAAATAAGAAAATTAATATCCATTATATCAATTATCAGTTATTGATATCAGTTATTTACCTAATCCAAATGCTATAATTGAGAATAAAATTTGAGATAATCTTAAAATCAATAAATGATTTGTTTTTTTCGTATTAATATTCATTTATGTATATTTACAATAAATATATAATATAATAATATATATTTTTTTTTTGAATTTTTTATTGTCATAAATTTGAATTTAAAAATCAAAGCCGTATTTATACATATTTGATATTGTTTACTGAATAATTGGATAATTGCATCAAATTTGTGTAGCATAGTGGACATTTTCGTCGATCATATTTGATTGGTTAAAAATTGTCACCAAGATATCACGTAAAATTTGATTTGATTGGCTAATGACTACAGTGTGGGGAATGTGGGGTGTAACATTACACACCAATCAAAATTTTAATTTTTGGATATATATATATATAGTTTCTAAATTTGTAATAGTTACACAACGAAATTTCAACACTGCTAATACAGTCAGGGATATTTCCATAGATGGAAATACTAAATACCGTAATGATCGATTGTATGAAAAATTCTAGAAGAAATTCTGATTGGCTAAATTCAATCAGGGGTAATACCCTGTAATCATCGATGTCATGAAAAGAAATTCTAATTGGCTAAATTCTGTGCAGATCTTTTCGTTGAATAAAAATAATAATCTTTATTCCTTTCAATTAATATTATAAACCGATTTATTTTTAGAAAATGTAACATAGATATAACAAGAAGTATCCCTGACTGTAATGATTATATATATTAATATCAATTTGATAATTTAGAATTTTCCTGTAATATTTTCTACTGATTAATGGTTACATAACAACTCTTTTCGGATCAGATCGTTTAACCATCTAAAGCTACATCAAATAGTATAATAATAATTTTGGCGACCGCGCAAAATACCAAATGCAAAATTGAATATCTTGTTATGTAAATGATATTGTAAAAGAAAAATAAATCTTATTATTTATCATTACCCATTAATATAATAAAGAAATATGTATGTTTCCTTGATATTTTATTCGAAAAATATGTTAGGAACCTATATTATTTTGAAAAAAATCTAGTTAAATATTTTTGTTACTATAGATTGCCATTAACACTTTCAGGTTTATTATAATTAATATGATTAATATGATTAATATGAAAATTTTACAATTTTACAACATCAATATGAAGAAAGTACAGTGAACCCTCTATAAGTGCACCCCCCTCGGGAACATAGTGCTATTTCTTGTGAGCGTGCATTTATGGAGGG